TGCGCGGGAGGAGGCGGCTCCACTCCGCCACCGTGGCCTCCGGCTGCGCCCTCAGAGGCCTTGGTGCCCCTGGGTGAGACATGCCAGCAGCGAAGGGCTGCGCCCCGCAGAGCGCCCGTGCGTTTCCTACGGCTTGCTTTGTGCTGCTCTGCCGCTTCCTTGCTGCAGAAGGCTCCAGTCCCGTATGTTGTCGGACCGCGCAGCCCCCGGCTGGTTGTTGAGGGAACGGGCAGCGTCCCCAGAAGCTGTTACCCTACAACCGGACCTAACCGTGCTGCGGCCGCAGTGCTCCGCAGACAGGAGCGAGCAGAGGTGCGTGAGCACCCGGCAGTAACCGAGATGAGCGTTTTCTGGCACTTCGTGAACTTGACACAAAATCACTTTGTCCCGACTGAGATTTTAAGTTGTCTTAGAATTGCAGTCGGAATGCAGAGGGTCCCCTCCAGCGGCGGTGATATATCGGGGTTTTGGAGATCAGGTGTAGATGTTATTTACAGTCTTAAAATTATGTCTGAATTGAGATTCGGATCTTGCAGTTTGTGTAAACTCTGTTGCTGTCTTCTTTTGAAAAGTACACTGAACTGTAACTGTGCACAGCTCTTACTCTGAGACTGCAAAGGTCTTCCTGTGCCGTGAGTGCAGGGCATCTCGTCAGTATCAATAAAGTGATTCCTGGTGTCACAGCTGAACACCACAGTGCCATAAGATGTTATACTGAAAAGAATCAGGCTGGGAATGCATGTGAAATTACAGGGCCTCTCACTGTCATTGCTCCATGTGGAAACATGAGATGTTCTTGCTTTATCTCAGAGATATTTGAAGGCAAGTTGCACTATAAAGTTTGTATGCATATTAGATTTTATGTTAATTTGCATGGGCATCCCTGACCTTTCAAAAGTTAGAGCTTGGCAGCAGAGGAGAGGAAGGTATCATAGCATGCACAAGTATTTAATTTTACAAGAAAAAACAACTAATATTTCTGGAATTAATTTTAAATTTTTATTGGAAAGTGTGTTTTGGTTTTGTTATTTCTCAATTAAATTACACTTGGTTTTATTTAAACACTTAATTTTGGGTCACATCTCAGGAATTATTGTTTGTTTGTTTTTGTTAAACATAACTGGTTTGTTACATCATTTCACAAGTGTGATCCCTGACATGAAAAAGTAAACCTAAATTAGCTGAAAGTAAATACTGAGAATGACTTTTTTCATTTTAAGCGATGCAGCACAGAGTGCAAAAGGCAGTTTATAACTACTGCAGGCTGTGTGGGCTCCTGCCTGGGAGCAGCTTTTAAGACCAGAGAGTGATCTAGTCAGAAGGGTTTCACTAAAACTCTGCTTGTGAGCTTCTGCACACAGCAGTGCTAATTCTGGCTGGATTGGGTATGGGCACACAGTCAGGTTTCCAAAACATTACTCAGAGTACACAGTGAAAATTTTATGCCAGCTGCAAAGGCTGAGGCAACATCTGTCCTGCAGAAAGCCTGAAATAAAAAGCGTTACTCAATAAATACGAAGTTGCAGAGTGAGCTTAGGCTGGATGAGCACTTACTGTCTGGTATATGGAGCACTACAGCCGTGTTTTAGCTCCTGAGACTAATTTTTCAGCCTCAAGCCTTGATCCTGGAAGACTTCTTCTATCACACAAAGTTCTGTCATCAGGGATTTCATTCAGGTAGTTTGGTTTGCCCACACACCGTAAAATTCAGGATAGAAATCTGATTTTGTACAACACTCTCTTACGGATTTCTATCCTGTAGACATTTAATTCAGTGTCAGTAGTCATGCTGAAGATTAATGGGACTGGTCATCCAGGTAAATAGTGTCTACCAGTGTTTTCACAAGCTTTTAGACAGTGATCCTACCAAAGGGAAAAAAAATAGTTCTGCACATGTTAAGTGAGTGGGAGAACTTAACTCAGTGAAATGATGAATGTGCACATAATGTGCTTTAAGGATACAGATCTCAAGTTCTTTCTAGCCATTTATCTCATGCTCTCCTGAAATCTGTTTGGAGTTCTTGTGCTATAACAACTGAATCGGATGATGTTTTTATTTTTTTACAGGAAATACCTTCTTTGATGAGTATTTTTGCTAAATTGGATCATACAGAATCATTTCTAATAAATTAGTTCATAGTATATTGGATTTTTATTTAAGAGCTGCAACATACTGTCTGTTTCAGCTAACCATGTCTTTAAATGCATCTACACTTTTAAATGAAGAAAACTCTCAAGAACCAAAAAGAAATACTGAGCGTTTGGGAAGTCTAGAATTGCAGGCTCCATCATCGTTTCAAGATAACCCACTCCAGCAACTACAGCTCGCATCACAGGAAGTACTTGAAAAGGCAAAGAAGAGTGGGAGATCAAAATGCCCTCAATGCAGTAGTTCAAGGATGTTTTATTGTTATACGTGCTTTGTTCCTGTTGAAACTGTCCCTACTAAAGAAATTCCAACTGTGAAGGTTAATATTTCTTATAGATCTTTTATAATATTCTTGTGCCTTTTAGTTACTGGGGATGGAGAACAGACTGTCTGTGGACGTTTCATTTCCGATTCATTCATTACGGAGGTTCATCTTTAACACAGCTATAAGTACAGCTATAAGCTACAGTTCGGTAAAATTCTTGTTCTTATGTGAGGAATTACATGTACAAACGATGTTCCAGTCCTCATGTATCTGCTAGATGGGAAGGAAGGTATGCTGAATCACTCAGCTGCTTCTGCAGATGGTTGTTTTCACTTAGTTCTTAGTTCTATATAGTGCCCTTACCGTCATTCTTCAGTTTCTAAGAACTCTGGCCAGAACAGAGCACACTGTGAACAAAAAATGATTTGTCCATAATTTTTGTCCATATTAATTTTACATAAAATGGAAATGTGAGCTAAAAGGCGTTCCTAAATGTCATGGTTGTATAATTCAGATAACCACTGTTAAATAAACACTAGAAAGCCTAATGCCTTTCAGCTAAAGTACTTGGAGAAACCATCAAAGAGGACTGACATTTTGCAGGATCACCTAGGAACTAAAACGCATTTTGAAGACACTCTGTAGTTTGAAAGCATCATGAAAATACATACTTTAAGAGTACTTTGGAAATTTGACCTAGTGTGTTTAAGTGCATTTTCATTGAAATGGCCATTTTTGCAATGGCATGAATACCTAATACAGATAAGCATTCATATTTACAACCGTCATATTGATCAAATCGAGACCACATATTCTTTGCCTTAGAGATACTGTTCCTAAACACTTTACCACAGTAGTGCTGCAGCATTCCAGACTGCATTCATTGCTTACTTAAGTATCTAAATGAATTGAATGTAACAGGTGCTTCATGTCATTTATCTCTGGCTTAGTTCTAAACCTGTTAAAGCCAAGATGTTGTCAGAAATTGTCAAATATGTCTTAATTACAATTATGTCCATAGGGATTTCTACCGGATTTTGCATAAAATTTTGTACCTGCATATATGGTCATAAATTATTGCTTATTTCTTTTCTTTTTTACTGTAGTTACCTTTGAAGATTGACATTATTAAACACCCAAATGAAACAGATGGCAAAAGCACTGCTGTGCATGCTAAGCTCCTGGCACCCGATGATGTTACAATTTATAAATACCCCTGCATTCCAGAATACAAAGAAAAACGACATGAAGTAAGAAATTCCATATAGATAGCTGGGCTTTGTGCTGGGGAGATGCAGAGGAATCTTGTGAACTTCATCCTGTAGTGGTACTGCACTCTGCTGGGAAGGAGTGGGAGGGAAACGCTGTTCTGTTAATCCAGTCCACTTTTATCTTGCACTCTGAAAATATACAGTGTTATGGAGTGTCCTCCAGAGCTTACAAAAACTGTAGCACTACTTCACCACCTCGACCTTCCTGTGTTTGCCACCTTTTATAACATATAATTTGATTCACTGTGTATCATAAGAAGTATTTTGCCTAAACGTATTTTCACGAACACGTGAAAGTGTTCAATTTACAGCAAGTTAAATAGCAGTCAGTTGTTGTGCTCATCCTATTCAGGAGCTGCAGTATTTAAACTTTAAAACTTTTAACATTCCCTATTTCAGAAAAAAACTGAACCTGAAAAATGTGAGCTATGGACTTGGATTTATATGCTCATTTAAATGGTTAATGATTAATCTAAAATTTACACATTTGATATCATAATTATCATGTTTGACTACATGAAGAAAAAGAAAAGATACGTATTTCAGACATATTATTTTCTTCAAGGAAAGCAGAGGTGGCAAAGAGGTAGGAAGCTGAAAAAAAGGCAGAAAGAAGAACAGGGAAGGCAAGCAAAAGTGGGAAGATATTGCAGTAACTTTGTATTGTCCAAGCTTTCGAAGTCACAGATTCCGAATGCTGCAGTAAGCAACTGAAAAAATACTAAGGCCGTCACTGCTCTTTTTCATACAAGGTACTTGTGGGACCTGCAATAGACACAAGGGCAGAAAAGATTTTTTTTCTGATCTAAGACTTGTGAATGAAATGTGAAGCTATTTTTTATGGCCTTCCTGCCCCATACACAGCAATGACAAGTGAAATTTGAATTTCTCAGGGCTGACACCATTGTCTAGGCTGAAAAAATTGTTCTTTACAAAGTATCAGAACTGATAGTAGCGGCACAGAGGTGATATTTAAAGATCTCTAACCATTATTTTAACATAGTCTTTTATCTTTTTAGACAATAGAATATTTTTTAAGAGATACTTTTTCATCTTGTCATGACCTAAATGCCTGCGATCAGGGAAAGAAAATTTCTGTTCTTTAATGAAACAATTCCTGGTGTTTTATTAGATTTTGTTAACATTCACATTTCTTTCTTCTCTTTGTTTAGATAGCACTTATATTTCCTGGCCCCAATTCAGTTTCAGTAAAAGATATTGCTTTCCATCTCCAAAAGTATGCTAAGAAAGGCATTTGCACTAACGATGATGACTGTTCCAGAGAACCATTTCTTAAGCAAGCAAAACTTGAACCTGAAGAAGAAGAAAAAAATCTAAATGAATGCATCTCAACCAACGGGAATGAAGGCACTAGACTGAAGAAAATAATATTTATTGACAGTACCTGGAATCAAACTAACAAAATAATAACTGATGAACGACTTCAAGGTAAAAAAAGAAAAATTGATATTGAGATGTTTTTGCTACAGAAACAATTAAGGGAAATACACATCTGTGTAACAGACCTGAGTATGCTAAGTGTATGCCTAACCCTATATCTGAGTATACATGAAAGATTCAACAGCCTATTTGTGTGCTGTAGCCAAAGACTCAATTACTTTTGGTGTCTTATAATTTGTTTCACGCAATGATAAGACTAGTATTAAGAAAGCATTTACACTAATTTTCCCACTTCTCTATTGAAACATGTTTCTTCAAGTCTCACAGAATGGCAGCTGTCATGATAGGCCATATAAAACCAGTAGTGTGAATGGCCTCTGAAGGAAGCCAGAAAGATTCCCCTTTGTAGGTGGCTGTCTGCTTTTTCAGGAGACCCAGGAAGCATTTCTGTACACACTAAGTGCAGGCTGGCCACTAGAAGGTGAATGAGGGATCTAGGGCGCAAGTATGCCATGGAATGGTTTGGGTTGGAAGGAACTTTAAAGATCAGTTGTTCCAACCCCCTGCCACGGGCAGGGACACCTTCCACTAGACTAGGTTGCTCAAAGCCCTGTCCTGCATGGCTTGGTTACTTTTTCTAGTAAAGTTCTTTGGTCCATGGTAATTTCAAAGACCTCACCACTTCCCAGACAAAAAGGCAATTCCTGCTTGCCCTCCACACCCTCCAGTTGCTGAAAGCTAAAAGTTGTAATTCTGCAAAGGATTTTTGTCTTAGGTTATTACAAGGAGTTTACATTTAAGTACTCTAAATAAAACCACAAAAGATAAAACAATTTAGCAAGAGCTAGGAGTTTGAACTATGTAGGAGTTTGAAATTACTTTCATTAGTGAAAAAGGTGCACTTAGCTAGGAGTCAGGATATCAAGTTTATAGGTAATATATAAACCATGCTTGATAGGGCCTGCTTTGCACTGGACCCCACAAAGAATTTCACAGGCTTCTTATATGCAGGATGAATGTTGCTTTGCTGTCTACTCAGTTTATTAAAGAACCCCACATTAGTATAATGTATTGGCTAATTAAAATCTTGTTACTAGATATTTCCCTCATACTGTAAGCTTTCATATGAATGATCAGTATTTGTAATAAAGCATTGCCTTTAGCTGTATAGATACAGTACAGATGCTAGAAGCATGTTCAGTAAACTGTAACCCTTAAGCTACTTTGATTTTTTTTGTTGTTGTTCTTTAAAAAAATCCTAAAATTCTGTGTTTGAAATTAACTGATTAAGCTCAGCAGCGTCAGCACTCTTGCCTTCAATGGACTTCTGTTTGTAGTCAAACCACAAATAGGTGGGAGTTTACATCGGAGGAATCATTCTCTAAATGTAGTTCACTGCTGTTAAGGTGGGAACATCGCTGAATTCGATGAAGATTTCACGTTGGTTAGGTCTGAGGATTCAAGTATTGAAACCTCTTAAGGGAAACATGCAGTTTCCTATTACTATTTAGAATACTTATGTAAGCATTGTTAGAGGTAATAATTAGGCTACATTACTTTGAATTTTTAGTTCCAAAATGCCAACAATAACATTTAAATTCAATGATGGAATCTCCTGTTCAGGGGGTTTTTTTTCAGGCTGTTGGGGAGATTTCTTTTACTATGCAAGATATCATACATTACTAACTGCCAAGCAAACAACTAAATCCATCTTGCAATTGCACTAGAAAGAATTAAATGTAGTTTGAAGGTAAAAAGTATAGAATTACAAGTGCTGGGCTATCGGCCAGTTTGTACTCCTGAATTTGGATCTTACTGAAACTTCTTTGTCCGTAGCTTCCAAGCAATCCTAAAACCATATTGTTACTTATGCTATTACTTTTATCAAACCATCCCATGACACACAGTATCTAACATTCAGAAAGAAATAATTTTACAAGCTGATCCTGGTATACACCTTGATGGCTGTATATGCTGGTTTTATAATGCAACCAAACATCCTGTTTACAAAGTGACTACACATTAAGGTGGTTTTAATTTTAAGTTTGTGCTTCTTAAGGAACATAAAAAACAAGATAGACATTTAAAATTCATCTGAATAATAGAACAGAGACTATAGTAGATAAAAGATTTCCATGTGCCATACAGAGACCAGATTTCTTTCTTTCGTCTCAAGTGGGAATGCTTTTAGTTTCTAATAAAATTAATGACAAGATTCCCTTATACTTACTCCCGAGTAATCCCAGAGAGATTTCAGTTACTTAAACAAATGAAGAGTGTCTAGCTTTTAGCAAATACTTCTCAGTTCAGCAAAACTGAGGCATTGTTTTCCACTGAAAGCTATTAGCTTTGCAAACAATGAAGTTTAATAATAATTTTATGAACATCAATGAGTCTTTGTACATGTGGGTTTCACTCTTCCCATCTGAAGAGACCATGCAGTTTGGTGAGGGCTATGAAGCTGTATGAATGAAATGATTAGCCTATACATTTAATTGCAGATGAGGATTGTAAGCTAGCATTTACAGCACTCTCTTAAATTTCAAAGTGGTACACAAAGGAGGGTAAAATTACTGTCTCCATTTTACAGAAAAGAGATGGAAGTACAGGAAGAGAAGATACTTGCATGCAGGCATCTTGCTGGCTAGCAGTAAAGCCAGAAAACAAGACTTGTTTGGCATCCCACTCTCAGATCCACATTGTCTTATCTATGTCATCTTTTTTTCTTGACAGGGTTGCTGCAAATTGAGTTGAAGACAAGGAAAACTTGCTTTTGGCGTCATCAGAAGGGGAAGCCAGATACATACCTTTCCACAATAGAAGCAATTTATTATTTCCTTGTAGACTATCATCATGAGATTTTGAAAGAGAACTACAAAGGACAATATGATAATCTGCTTTTTTTCTTTTCATTTATGTACACATTGATTAAAAATGCCAAGTGTTGTGCAGGAAAAGAGTAAGATGTCTGTCTATAGGTAAGTGACACTGTATTTTCTTTCTTTGATAATTATAAGCTGCACAAATGTAATTATTTTTACCTAAACAAAGTCTGGAAATAGATTGTACTCTTAATAATGGTTAAGGGTTTGTCCGAAAGTAAGCTGCAGATCTTCTGTACTGCACACTTGAGGTTGTAGAACTACTCCGATGAGCAGTCTGATTAGAATTCCTCCCTTGAAAACACTTAGGGTTTGCTAAGTGTTGTGTCATCACAGCGAGATTATTTCCTGAGGTGGGGATAGGAGGACTTGGTCCCTCTTGCCATAAGGAGTCATGTCTCTTAACTTAGAAAAGGGACTAGCATGCTAGCTTTTTATTATTAATACTTTGCTTCAGGTGTTTTCATTGTGTTTTACCCAGTAAAACTGATTTCATTTTCATGGCATGAAAAGCTGAGTGACATTCTTAGGATGGTGTTTAACTGTGAGGCATGCCAATACAAAGTGAAAGACCAAAGTGAACAGAATACAAGTTACGTATTTTCAAGACTAATTCTGGAAATTGCCCTAGTTATAGAAAAGAATGATCTCTTTAAACATTATAGAGTGTATGATTTCAATAGTACCGTTCACATACTTCTTGGATAATTTTTTAATTATTATTATATATTATTAAATGTCACTGTGGCATCACATAGACAGTGAAATTTTATAGATGCCACATACTTTTGTCTGGAAACAGAACTTTCTGCAGGACTCAAAGAAATCTGCAGAGACAAAAACTAGGGAAGGTGGTTTTTCTAACCACATTTCTGACAAGACATCCTCAGTTTAGGCAGACAGTCGATCTGCTGTGTTTTTTCTTTTGCAGTGATAGTGCAAATTTGAACAGCTACATAAGACTTTTGTCTATGCCAATGAAAGTTTTGATGGTATGTGCAGCACGGCTGGCAGAGTCATCACATGTGAATGTAATTAAAGAAGTGTGATTTTGCCAAGCTATACCATGCAGCTGCTGCTGGCAGAGGTAATAGACCTAAGCTATATCTTTAAAAGCAGTTATACAAATATATTTTTATCATACTAGGATGTTCTAAAAATTACAGTCTTAAGGCAGAAAAAGAATGTTTCATTAGAGGTACAATATAAGATGGATAAATATTTATGAATAGTCTCAGAAGCTCATTACTTAAAATACTAAATCTTGTCAAAATGACACAGAAAAATTAGATTATTCTTTAAACAAAAATTCTGAAGTTTGTCTCATATTTTCCTTGAAAAACTGGTCTAAATTATCAGCAGTAGCCCAGGAGGGCCCTGTCTCACCCTGGTGATTATAGAAACAGGGCCTTGAAAAATGCCTCCAGAAAATCTTACACTGACACAGCTATACACAGGCTCAAACAACTGATTTGTAGGAGTTTTTTTACTGCTTCAAGATACTGAAATCAAAGTTAATACTGCAGTATTAACAACTGGGCAACCTGACCTAGTCGAAGACGTCCCTGCGCATTGCAGGGGAGTTGGACTAGTCCCTTCCGACCCAAACTATTCTATGATTCTTTAATTGCTTAAAACAGAAGATACGAATATACTCTCTGCAAGTCATACTTATCTTCACAAGTGAATGCATATAAAAATGCATTTCAGTGGACAATCAAAACACATTTCCATTTACAAAAAGAAATGCTTGTTAAGTTACATAAACACATGTGAAATGTTCAGGAACTGTAACAGCATCATGAGAAACACAGGCTTCAAGTCAGAATGAGAAATATCATTTTCAAATACACATACATATTGAGTTCATGTGCCAGGCAATGAGAAAAATCAGCAGTCATGTCTCAGTGTTACTGAAACAACACATTTCTTATTCATTTGGTTCTTACTGCTATTGAGAGGCTATTTTAGCTTTCTACAATGATTAATGCTATTTCCTTTGGTATGAATTTTGATAGTCTTTTGACATTTCCATCTGTTCTTGTATTTCTTAAACAAAGATTGTTGTAATATTTTTTTAAGTCACACAAGTACAATAGCTCGAGAAGGAAACTTTCACCCACTTTAAACAAACAAAAATAAAATGAACCCACTGACCTAATGTTTTACAAGAACCAGAGAGAAAAAT